TTTAGGGACACAATGGATTTAGCAATAGTAATTTAGCAAAAAGATATCAAGGCATTTATTAATTTTTCTTACAGTGTTCATTTCGGAAGCATAACAAGTAAGTCGGGAGTGCTTGACTAGGATATACTCTGAACTTTTTTCTACTAAAAGCAGAAGCACGCATGTCGGGATGTCGATGATTTGAGACGATCCTCTTTTACCCATTGGATCAATGGGTTCAGGGTAAAATTATGAAAAAAGATCGAATACATCAACTGATTTCTCATATAAATATGCATTTAGTTGATTTAATTTGAAAATGCATATTAATGTTCATTAACACATGCACACTTAAACACGCGTGCAACCACATAAAAAAAACCGGAAACAACTCGAGCTGCTCGTTCACTTGATCGGGCTTTAGACATAGAAATTTATCTTTAACGGGTTAGCATTATATGAAAATAATTTTAATAAATTCGTCCCCTCAGAAATATTTATTCGCTCCCATCAACCAAACTACTTGCATGGCCTCACTCCCAATTAAAAGAAAAAGCTCACGCATATCAATATATATTGTACATATGTATGTGTGCCCATGCATAACGAATATGCCTGTGATTGACGCTAACAGCCACGTGGTTGTGTCAATATGCCCACACGTTTTCTTTAATAACATTATTTAAACAGTTCTGGTGAAATTCGCAGTTCGCACAAAGGCAACGCTTCATTCAACCAGTTACATATACTCTCACAAAACCATTATAGCCTTTATCAATGCTTTCAGGGTATTAAAAGTATATATGTACATTAAAAGAGAATGAAATATGAACCCAATTTCCACGCTATTATTTTTAATTGTTTGCGTTAGGAGATGAGCGGAAGAGAGAGAGGTTATGCGAGAAGTAGGGCTTAGACAGCGTTTAACAAATTAAATATATTTAGCTGTTACACGAAGATATATTTATATAGAAAGCATACATAAATATGCGGACAAGACTAGGTTTAGGCAGGGAAACGGAGCCTGTGTAGATTTACTCTTGAATTGAATATTCTTATTCGCTATAGATACGTTCACATTCATTTCAATTATTCATATTCGTTGCGTTTTTTGTTTCTTATTTTAATGAAACGTGCTTTAAAATATATCAATGGATCTTAAAGTACATAAAGCAACCATCTCTTATGTTGACATCTGCTATGGTTTGCTGCCAAGTAAAATATAATTAAATGAATTATTTTATGCTTCTGTCGTAAATTGTGTGTATGTGTGTAAGTTGTTGTCTTTTAGCATATAGAGACGTTCACAATAGCTCGTCAATTCGAGCCGGTTCATGACCTGTATTACACAAAAAGTCCATAATTCTATGCCGCTTATATCTGCAGATTGAGAGGTGCCAAGCATTCATGTGTTGAGCACACATCGTGTAACCGCGTGAAACGCCTGATTTCGTGCGTGTTCATAAAAATAAAATATAAAATCTATATGCAAATCAAAATTCTTTAATACAACAACATGTGCAGTTATTTGATATAGTTTTGCGACTAAATTGGCAAAATGGAAAAAGAAGTAAGTATAAAAACTGACAGACGGAAACGGCTAGTTGTGACTCGGCTGTTGTGTGGTTTGTTCTGTATGTACGAATAAAACAATTGTGAATCAAAAAAAATACACCAATAGTAAAAAGTTATACGTTTGTGCTCGTGTATTTACAAAAAATACAACATGTACACAGCTCCAATTCACAGCAAAACTTTAAAGCAAATGCTGCACATATGTGCATACATAAGTATATATGTACGCACAGGCATCCGCATCACATACAATAGACTGATATGTGAACTAGGGGATAGGAGGCAGGTGTCAGTCACACACGGAGCACCTCAGCAGCAATTACTTAATTGAATCCTATGCTGCTCCAGCGTCTAACCATCTTGCTGAAAAACTTCATCATTAGCATCAAGTCAGGCTGAAGTCGAGAGACGGATATTATTGTTTTGTTTGTAGGTGGTTTTCCAGGTAAAATTAATTCGTATTTAAATTGTATGTTGCATATAAAGGAAAATAATCTTTCTTGGACTTGACGCTTAATTTGTTTGTATGCCTTTTGCATAACACAAATTCCAAAAATTAATATTATTAATTTAATATTGTCTGCTGAGCATTGGTGTTGGCAAAATGTTTGCCCGTCAAGAAATCACAACGGTTCAGATTAAATTAACTATGCAGTTGTATTTTAGATACCAATACTTGTATCTGTATCTGCTTAGCTCATAAGAAGAACAACAGAATATGCAAATGTGGTCCAAACTAAATATACTCTTAAAGACGAGTTTAATATGCAAAAGTTTGCAATGGTTTTGTGTCTTATTGCATAAAGTTGTTTATTAAACAAGTTGCGTTTATAAGCTCTTTTGTTAGCAGCAGGGATAACGTCGAAGAACATATGTATTAATCAAGTGTAACAGGATTATTTAAATCTAAAAGTACTATAGAACAATTATCAAATGCTCGCCATTAACGGTGCTATAATCAAATGTAATTAAATGGTATATAACAACATGCCCTTACATGCTTGCATTTGTTTTACATTTGCTTCTAAGTTGTAATACTCTGTACCCGATAAGGAACAACGTATATTGGTTTGTTGTAATAGAGTTTCATTCACCTCACGACAAATATTGATATGAAAAAAAAATACTCTACTTCCGAGATAGAGCAGCTCGTAGCTGGGAATTGTTGACTGCGACATAGTTGCACATTTTTAATCTCGTCAAAGTCTATTTCAAACTGATTGCGCACCCGCCTCTCTGTAATAGTAGCGAGCTGCGTGCTGGTTGTACTTGATGGCTCCAATTTAGTATTCGTATTTTTATATTGATAGGCATTAGTAGATAGGTGAAATGAATGCAGTTGAGGCTGGTTGCATTCAGTGATCTCGAATCGCTGCTCATGTGAAAATGTTTGAGGCTGTCTTCTTAGTCGCGATTAGTGCTGTTGTTGTTCTGTGCTGTGTTCTGTTTGGGCTTCGATATGAGCGCCTTGTCAAGCACATTGACAATCAGTTTGCTGGGCCAACATCCTGGCCAGTTGTGGGCAACCTATCACAGATGGGCATTAGCCCAGACGGTAAGTGAAAATGCCAAAGGTTAACACTAAGTGCGATAGCTTTTGAAGTCTAATTGGCATACGTTTTTATGATTCCGTGCATATCTATGTGATAAGACTGGTTTTTTTTCGATTTGTTTTTTGTGTTAATTAAAATTCTGGTTTTCTTGTTGCTATCCTAAAGGTACAATTATTAATATGTTCGATTTAATCGTGATGTTAGCGCCTTTTGGCATTCAGTCTTGAATCTGGTTGCTGCTGTCATCTGTAGCAGTTTATGTATGTGCAAGAAAAAACATTTGTTTACCTGTTCAAATCAAGTTTGTTATATGATTCGTGCAAATATTAAATGCGCCTCTTTCTTTTCAATGCGCGTCACAACTTAATTTGTGTTTAAGTATATTAAACGTTTGTCAAAACGCATTTAATATAAATATCCTGTACAAATTTAAAATGGATATTCTATTGCCTTTTGACCGTACAAAAATAGCTCAATACCTAAAATTCCTCGTTCTGGACCTACCGTTTAATGTGTTATAGCTATTGATAGAAATGAAATGAAATGGAGCTGTGTTGTTATACGAAGACCTTCGATTTAAAAAAAATATATATTCGATAGTCTCTGGAATTAACGGCGTTATTCAGACACACAGACGTCCTGATCATGAATATATATCCTTTCTTTGGGCCAGGAAACATTTGAGCCGCCTGTTACATACACAATTAATTAAAAAAAATTGAATTTTACCGGCGATTCTCTAACCGACTTGCTGTATCCTACCCGACCGACTGCAGATGGGAAATGTAAAACACCAGTTGTGAAATACAAAAACGAATACAGGCTAGGAATATAGGATAAGGCTATTTACTGACTAAATAGCTTAGAAAAGAAGATTTAATACAACAAGGAGAAGAATCCGAACAGGATACTCTGCAATGCTGATTGTAATAATTACACAGCACTCGCAACAATTCACTGGGTTGAACAAAATTTAAGAGACAAAGGTGTATAATTACGTGTTAGCTTATTAAAATTATGTGCGTGACTGAGATTTTCTTAACTGTTTTTTATAGCAGGAAAATGAAATTGGATCTATAAATATGGCCAGCCAAGGCTAAAAGAATGTACGTCAAATAGTTGTGGTACAAATTCGTTAAAAAGTTATTGATAAGAACACAAACCCAAAACTTGAAATAAGAAATACGCATTTATTTATATCTTTCTAAGCTTATAATTGCTTTCGAATATGACTACGAACCTAAATATAATTAGTAAGCTGTTAGCTAGTTTATTCATGCCCCTATCATTATTTAATCTACGAGAGTATTTAGAGTTATGAGTAAATTATAATAATTATTAGCCAAGTGAAATAATAACGAAAACAACAGCCAATTAATTACAAACTCTCAGCAACAATATTACAACATAAACAAAGTAGAAATAAAACAACTTTATTAAACAATTAAGTCAGATTAGGTGTCGATCATAAAGCAGACATTGAACCCTAGAAAGGAATAGATGTAAATGACAGCGCTTAGCTACGGTCGAAAGATTTAAATATTAATAAACTGACTGCCGGCCGGCGAGACACGATCCCAAGATCAGGGTGATCATTAGCTGCTAAAACTTGTTTTGGCCTTGACGCTTTGCTTCAGCTACTGGAAATAATATACGTATTTGTTTTCAAAATTAGCGAATGTTATGCGAATCGAAAGCGAAATTAAGGTTTGCAAATTTGCAACCGGTTTCTCAGCACAATTTACAGTTAGACACTTTTTTATGGGTCGCATGCTCATTCATTGGAGTATTCCGTGTTTTTGTATGCTTTGTTCTTCGTCTGGGAATAGTTTCTGCTGCTGAGAAAGACTCTTTGACCCACTGACTGCTTGAGTTAGTGGCAAACCGTGGTGATTAGAAAAACATTCGGTTTTTAATATGCTTTCAACAATTCGCTGCATATATTTTTCAGTTAAAAAAAGAGTATGCGGCAAAAACAATAAATGTACAGATTATTTTTCAGGGAGTGGTCCATTCGATCGAGTCAACATGTTCAGAGCCTATTTCTCAAGCTTTGAGGGGTGGGCAGCAATCCATTCGAGAGCGCGCTGGATCTCAACTGGGATTGGGGGTGGTGTGGGCAGCAAATCGCTCTGGGGCTGGTAACCATTCTCATCAGCCACATACTTAACCAGAACATGGACACCTTCGGGCGAGACCCAGCTGAAGTCTCCCTGAGAGTTTCCGTGCTCATCACCGCTCTGAGCTTGTTCAATGCCATTGGAGGTCTTCAGGAGAGTATTGAAACCATCTGGGCGCACATCGTCCTTGCGTTCAAGAGTTTCTGCATTCGCTTCAGACTCCACAGCGGCGGCCAGGCCAATAACTGCGCAGATCAACAGCTGAAAGACCAGATCAGATACTTATTATATATTGCCAATTCTCAACATCCTTTGAGGTACTCACGATTTTGAACATTTTGAGTTAAGTGCAGTTGTTGATTGTAAGGAACAAACGTTGACTGATGATCCATTTCAGATAGGCGCCGCCTTTTATACAACTTCCTCTGATGAAAAAAATATCAGACCTGTTCCTTCATGTCGCATATGCAAATTTAATATCAAAAATAAACCAACTCATCACGCCGAATTTTGAAAAAAAAAAAAAACAAGTTGAAAACCTATTAGACGAGTTTCTACAATTGAAGCTGCATATTATATAACAGTCTACAGTCTATATAAATACTTTGCCTTTTAAAAGAGAGTACAGTAGAACCTCGATTAAACGTGATGCTAGGGAACGAGCTCACGACGGATAATCGAATGTCCAGGTGAAAAGAGGTCGCATTTGCGCACTCAAAAATATTATTATATTACTTATCTATAACAAAAACATGTGCATCCGCACCTGTAAACAAATAACGTGTATATAGATGTATATAAAGAAAAAAGGTTTACAACTAATAGAGGTAAATCTCGGTTAATGGAGGTATAAATCAACCACTCAGCTTCCAGGTAAATAAATGTTCCAGCTTAATAATGATCTGTATAAACGAAGCTCTACTGTATTTCACAAGAATGTCGAGGTGCTATCACTAGTTTAACAATTTTAAAATTCTAATTTCTAAATCATAAAAGCAAAGAGAAAGAATTTCAAATAAAACAAGCGGGTACTGTCAGGCATACCCGGCAGAGAGATACCCTAAAACCGGGCTGAGCTTCCATTAAAAGCATTCTAGCTTACTGCTAAGCATGTATACAAAGAAACACACATGCACACGCACACACACACAGGAATGTAGCCTGGATTATGGCTCAAAAATAAGTTTAGGTGGAACGAAAGAGCTCCCAATGTGAGCACAAAGGAGCATAACTTTCATGACGTTGTCTTACTTATGTGTATGTTTGTATGCAAATACAATGTGACACGTAATATACTTTTATATATACAAAATATTTATAAAAAAAATCTTTTTCGTTTTGTCAATGTTGTATTGTGACTCGATACTTTAACAAATTTCACAGTCTATATCTTCCACAAAAATCGTTTAAGTTTGGTGCAACGCTTCTCAAAAATCTGTAATTATGATTTATCTGAATATCACACTCCAAACAAAAATGTGTTCTTTTTTAAAATAAAAAACATTTGTATGAAAATATTAAAGCCGAAATATATTACGATCTAAATAAACAATAAATACTTTTACTCAACTAAAAAGTGTTTAATAAAATTTTGGTAATCTGTTGATAAAAATCTCTAATTGATTTGTTTAAAAATAAATTTGTTCTCAATGTGAAAACTATATTTTTTAGTTGGAATTTTTCAGTTTGGAATTAACTTAAGTTACGCTTTTGGATTATGTTTATCTATCTTAAGAAAATTTCTCTCTTTTTCAAAATATATAAAGGATGTACAGGTGTTTGTCAGCATGTTCAGTTGATTATTCCTGACTATGAAAATCAGTATATCTCTATTAGAACTCGCTATTTGTACCATTCCTGACAAAATTTGAATTCAAAATTTTCGGTATAATTTTTTTCAGTCACTGCACTTTCTAAAAATTGTAAAACCCGAAAATAAACAACCAAAATTGTTGATTATGTGAATTTATTTTAAATTTCAAAAATCAATCATGCTGCGAAATTTTATAGGGTAAAGTTATTGAGAGAAGTCCATTAGAAGATCCATTCAACTGACTCAGAGCTTATTTCCGCTCAGGTGCCATTACTGAGAGCTTAATGCTCGGGAGTGGTCCATTTGATCGAGTCAACATGTTCAGAGCCTATTTCTCAAGCTTTGATGGGTGAGCAGCAATCCATTCAAGACTGCGCTGGATCTCAGCTGGGATTGGGGGTGGCACGGGCAGAGATGCACCCTGTGGCTGGTATCCGTTCTCATCAGCAACATAAGAGATTTCGATTTTTTCCCCCTCGGGCGAGATCCAGGCAAAGCTGCCGTGGATGTTTCCGTGCTCATCACCGCTCTCTGCGCGTGTGATGTGGTTGGTTGTGTCAAGGGCAGAGTCGAAGCCATCCGGGCGAACATCATCCTTGCGGGAAACAACTTCGGCCTTTACATCGTCAGGGTTAGAGGCAATTGGCAAGGCGGCGGCCAGGCCGATAACTGCACAGATCATCACCTAAAACGAGATCAGTTTAATTTTACACTTTTCAGCCCTATCCATTTCAGAACTCACAATTTTAAACATTTTGATTTTAGTGCAGTTGCTGACTGTAGGGACTAGCTTTCACTGATGATGCAGTCTAGATAGGAGCTGCCTTTTATACGGCTTCATCTGATGTGAAAGAAATATATAACCTGTTTCTTAGCATCATAAATGCAAATTTGGGTCGAATATTCATAATAGCAGAAATCTTCATTCAGCCGAATTACGAAAACTCTTTAAGGCTGTTTGACAGCAATAAATTTATTCAATTTTTATTTCATAGTTATTTATTATAATAAGTGAATGTTTTTTATAGAACTTAAATGTGGTCTTGACTAATATATTTTCAATCAAAATTATGCATACCTGAGAAGCGATTTATTTGTATTGCCTGGGTACTCAAGAAAAGCAGGGATAGCAAACGATATAATAAGATTATTTAACCTTCAATGAGAGTAGATGAAGAAAGTGGATTTCTAATGTTCTGATTATTTTAAATGCCAAAGTGCATTAGCGGCTGCTGAAGAAAACGGGTTCATCTTCTCCAAGACTAGTTATGACTGTTATTTTAGAACTCTTCGAATCACGTCCTGCATGTATAATACTATTCACATAACTTTCCCCTCCAATTTTTAAATCCGGCTCAAAAGCATCTGATTTCGAAAGATGAACAACGTCATATATGAGTTTTTTGTTGGTTGAGTGAATGAATGTCACGAAAGTTATTTCGGGATCTCGGGGAGCCTAAGATCAATCAACCTTTCAAAGTTTTCACAGTTTATTCTAATGTTCGCTATATAATGTAATATATATATATATATATTTTTATTATTTATTAAGTGTAGAACCTGTACAATCATAATTTAGTACCTTAACAACACATGGATAGAAAAAATAATTTAAAACCGAACCCCATAACGCAGTATGAGGATTTTAATATAATATAGTTGATCAATTTGTGATAAGAGCTAGACAATGTCATTTCAAGTTTCTTCGCTCTCAACGCAGAATCTGCACGAGCCTCCCTCCAACCACTCAGATTGTTGCCAGTACTACTTGCTTGCTCTCGCCGATTCTAATGGGGTAGTATAAACTCTCGTTTAGTATACATAAATCCAACATATTTCACCATTCGTATCTCTCTCCAAATTTATTTTGATAATCATGATAGTCTGACAATAAGCCCTGAACTTATTGAATAACTCATTTTCCATTGTGTTGGGTTGAGGGAAAAAGAAGCAGGGCCGCAGCATAAAGTGCGATTTGATGTACTGCCGTTAATCTGTGCAAGAGTATTTAGCTGATTTATGTTAATATGACATAGACATAGTCTGATTTATGGTACTTTTGGACTGTTCAAAGAATGTGTAAAATTTACTAACGATACTTAATTGTTAATGAAAATTGCTGTGCACAAAATTTTTAATATAAAACCAATGTCAATTCAAAAAACGTCAAAAAACGTCTGCCAACATGAAGACCCAAGACCTGACTGTCAAATAATAACATTATTGGTTGATAGACAAAACTTCTTTTTAATTTGTCATAAACAATGCACGGATAACTTAAAAATTATAAACGAGGGGAGTTCGAGGGTCAAGTCCATATGCGATCCAATATGCACTGTCAAAAGTCATTTAGTGCTTACTTTCGTACTCGGGTGCTGGGGGATGGGCGGCCAACCACTGAAGGGCGCGTTCAATTTCGACTGGGACTGGGGGTGGGGTTGGCAGAGCTGCGCCCTGTGGCTGGTATCCGTTCTCGTCAGCCACATAAGAGATTTCGATTTTTTCCCCCTCGGGCGAGATCCAGGCAAAGCTGCCGTGGATGTTTCCGTGCTCATCTCCGCTCTCTGAGCGGCTGATGTGGTTGCTTGTGTCAAGGGCAGAGTCGAAGCCATCCGGGCGCACATCATCCTTGCGGGAAACGACTTCGGCGTGCACATCGTCAGAAGAAGGAGCAACTGGCACGGCGGCGGCCAGGCCGATAACTGCGCAGATCAATAGCTGAAAGATGTGCAACATAGTTAGCCACTGACAATCCTTGTGTTCGTGTCCAGCTACTTACGGCTTTGAACATTTTGATGTAAGTGCAGTTGTGGATCGTGAAACGAACGTTGACTGATAATCCACTCAGAGAAGGCGCGGCCTTATATAGCTCTCTCGGTATACCGATTGGATGACATTTTGCGTGCAACAGATATGCAAATTTGGCTCGAAATTAACGAGGCTCGCTTATAATGTACATATTATCGATTTTGACTGTTGCAGTGCATTAATAACTAGAGAAAACGGGTCTAGCTGCTTGCGAACTTGTTTTCACTTCTAAATAACTGCTTAAATATTCCCAAAATAACACATCGCCGAATATCTGCTTCGCAACAGTTCTCGTATAGAAGAAATATAACTCTAACCCAGCCCCAATTTCATGTTATTAACATATGATATGCGGTCATTTACTTCACAGATCGTTGTAAATCTAGGAAGTTGAGCTTCCCAAATCAACCTCTTCCCTCTTATCTGTCGGAGTCATTTATTCCAATGAATGGAATACTTGCCAAATATATCAACTTATTTTATCCATATAACTGTATAGTTAAATGTAACTCGAAAAGTTTAAAAATATTTTAGTTTTTCATAAAATAACAATGTTCATAACATTTAAGTAAAACTAATTTATAAATATTACAAAATATTATAGGGTAAAATAAACTAATAAATATTTACAATATTTGAGTCAAACGGTAATAAAAGAAAATATATGTTTAATTTGACTGTTTTGTATTTAGGTTTTCTTAGTTGAATTATTTTCATTGTCGATATATATAACACTAGTCTATAAACCAAAAATAATTAAACTAGGCATGCTTATCCTTTGAGTTGTATAAGTAAAGGTTTGACTTGTGATCAATTCGCTTTAACTTGTTTTTAAATCTTCACATACAAAATTGACCTCGCGGGCGAGCCACGTTAATTGCCACTTAATATTCCTAATCCCACCGACCACAAATCAAGCAAGCCAATTTGCCTTTTTTTGTGAACGCTCTGCGCGAACAATTCATTTCATTATTGCCTACTTTTAGGCACTGAGTAAAGTCGCGACGGGATTCTATACAGATTTTAACAGAACAGCATATGTATATTTTCAAATGGTTCTTCTTCTTCTTATACTTCTTCTTAATCCAGCGCTTACCAAGAGTGGTAATTGTCAACAGGAATTCCCCGTATTTCCCTCCTTAAAGGGCCATTCAATTAAGATTTTTACAACTACTGGGGCTTGCGAGCAAGATTTTAACTAAACACTTCATTTACTAATTGTCCCAACTCAATATATATATACTGGTCAGATGAAAAGGTCCCACTCAAGTCAAAAGGGTCTCAAAAAGTGAAAATCTTACCATATCTGAAAAGCTATTCTAGTTTTTCTTAAAAGGTTGACCGCACTTTCTTACAATCGACCAAATTAACATAAAAAGTAAAATATTCAAAGATATTTTTTAATTATTGCCAAAAAAGTGTTAATTTATGCTTTGGGAACCCGTTTTAAAAGGACAAGATGCTCGTGACGTTACAGATTAAGTGGGTATGGTTCATGAATTGGTTTGGTCTAATTTTTAATTTATTTAATAACGACACGATTTGGCTAAGCAGATAGCTTCGGTGACACATGGAAACAAGTTTGCGACCAGTTGGCTCAACCCGCTCTTGATGCACCTTAGCATTCAATAAAAGATGATAGCACTATATCATTATTTTTGAACTCGCTTTTGTTTGGTGTCGTTCAAGCATTGGTTTTTCGTGTGGGTGTGTCGGTTAAACCCATAACTCACAGCCATAATTGTCCGATGCGCCTGAACTGGTCTCTAAGTGGACACTCTCTAAGCTGTGGCTGTATAAAAGACGCCGCCTGGCCGGTGTGCAGCATCAGTCAACGTTCGCTCTCTGTGTTCTACAACTGCCAGAAATATCAAAATGTTCAAAGTAGTAAGTAGTTTAAGACTGGGGATTAGCGGCAGTTAATAACCACTTGTTACAGTTGATGATATGCGCCATTTTCGGCATGGCCGTCGCCTTGTCGCCTGGTCTACTGCGTGGCGTCCGTCCGGTGGCGCATCCAGTGCGCTCCAGCCCCGTTGGACACGGCGAGGATGTGCACGCTGAAGTGCTGTCTCGCAAGGATGATGTGCGCCCTGATGGCTTCGACGCAAGCCTTGAGACCAGCAACCACATCAGCCGGGCAGAGAGCGGTGATGAGCACGGAAACATCCACGGCAGCTTTGCCTGGGTCTCGCCCGAGGGTGAACAAATCCAGATCTCGTATGTGGCTGATGAGAACGGTTACCAGCCACAGGGCGCAGCTCTGCCAACCCCCCCTCCAATTCCAGTCGAAATCGAGCGCGCCCTTGCCTGGATTGCAGCCCATCCTCCAGCACCCGAGAAATACTCTCATTAAGTCTATGATCTAGTTGCATGGATCGTAAAATTCACTTAGTTCTGAAACTCTATTGTGCTTAAGTAACTCGATTCTTAAAGCGAGTTAAATAAAAAACGTGTAATGCAGTCATAAGATCGTTAACTGAATTTGAATTAAATAATATTGTTTTATTTTTGCAAATTTCACCAGAAAAGACTCAAACTTTTACCAGCTTCACTCAATGGAGCAAATCTACCTCACTTTAAATATTAATATTTACTTATATATATTCGCAAGTTCACGCAAGTGATAATGTTTAATGCGAAAATATATAACCAAGTTTATAATTTGCTTGTCGCAGTCCTCGGTAGACGATCTGTCTGAGTGAACCATTCATTCAGGCAACAACACAGCTAAGGTTCAAAAGGATGTGAAGAGCCTTGTCTTAGCCGAAGGCTTGGTACATGTTTTTAATAAAAATACATGTTTTGGATTGTCTTTCTTGTGATTCTGAGAAATAACTTGCTCGGGGACAGTTCTCAACCATTGACTTTTTGACTATAGCTTTATTTTGTGCAAATGTAATCATTGAACGAAGTGCCAGACGGAGACATCTAAGACCGCATACAGAATACACAGCATACGATTTTAGATCTACCTATCTATCTATTGATCTATCTGCACCTTAGAAACCTTAATCTTTGTGTGAATATGTATAATTGAATTTTAAAAAAAAACTATTAAAAGATACAATACGTTTGTTTTGCGTCTTCCGATGGGTAGATGAAATGTATATTAGCTACGTTTTTTAGCCTAAACACGCCAATTCCATTATTGTTCACACCCAGCTTAAACCTGAATTGTATTATCAGTAAACTACAAACGGGTTTTCTTGTTAACAAACTAAAAACAAACCTCATACCAAGAGGAAGTTCCATATATAAGGGAACAAATGTAGGCAATGGATGATCAGTTACTTTTTTGCTATGCGCTAAGTAGTCAATATGTTCAAAATTGTGAGTAGCCCCTCGACATTTAGGAACGTGTCCTTATTGTTGACATCAATTTTAGGTGGTTTATTACGCTCTAGCTGTTGGAGTTCTGTCTGCTGAAATTGAGGTGTTGAATAATGAACATGTTATCAATCCCGATGGCTCATTCAAAACTGAATGGGATCTCAGCAACGGCGTGGAGACTAAAGTAGAGGGAGTTCTAAGAAATCTAGGAGACGAAACAGCTGTCGTTCAGACTGGAAGTCAAAAGTGGGTTTCACCCGAAGGCGAAGAAATCAAATTTGCTTTTGTGGCAGATGAAAATGGATACCAACCAGTGGGAGATCATATTCCGACCCCACCACCAATCCCTGAAGCAATCCAGCGTTCACTCGAATATATAGAGAAACACCCTCCTCAGGCTTAGTCTGACTTGTCATCGGACTTGTTCTTGTTTTATTAAATTGCAACGATTGTAAGTTACGGTGTTTATTATGTGCGGCTATTAAAGTCAAAAAATCTAAATGTGTATTTAAAATGCTATAATCGATTGCTCAGATAAATTATTATTATAATAAATAATAGTCAAGGTCGAATATCTGTTGGGCCTCTAAGCACGAGGCTCGCTTCATATTTTAGCGATATTAACATAATTAACATGCGCCTAACAAAATGAAATCAAACTAGTTTTGTAATAATCTTCAAACATTTTAAATATTTGCAAGTGCAATACATTTTATAAATATAACACTATAAGCAAATAGAATACATTTTTCGACATACCTTGAAGTCTCTAGTTCTTGTTAGTGCTTAGTACTTAGGGCCAAAAATAAAATACCCTTGAGGAATTATATTATTTTTTTTATTTTTTTATAACGTTTATTGTATTTATCAAAAAAAGCATAAGTATTTTAACAACGAGCGTAAATGATGTTTCTTTGGGTACTCGGGCTTTAGGCGCAAGGCAAAATTTAAATTTTTATGTTATTTATTAGTGATAATTTTCCCACTTTACGAAATATACAAACACCAAATTTTTGACGAATAGTAATATATGCTCAATGTTTTTGTCGGACAATTAAAAAGGATTATAAACTGAGGGAGTAGCTTATACAAACTGACAATCAAACTGACGAGCAGAATGCTTGTTGTAATGGATCATGAATATCTTTAGTTCATGGGGTCAAATGTATCCTTTTATGTTTTACAAGTACCGGGATATGGGTGTAATATAATAATAATGAAATATATACTTCAACATTTGTCTATTTGATTTGGCCTCTATATAGTAGTTCAAATTGGCCGACCGATTCTTGGCAAAACAAATATAAATAAACTAAAATATTGTATGTTCTTCCTTGCAGCCCATTTAAGAAATCTCTTAAAATTGTATAAGCAATACAATTACAAAAACTTTCGCATCTGGCTCGGCCCAATGCCCTATGTGCTATTCATTGAGTGCAAATATGTAGAGGTAAGCAATTAAGTGCAGTTCAAATCCAGTTTTGATCTTTATTTTGCAATGAATCAGCACGTTCTGAGCAGCACTGCTCTGACGTACAAATACGATCCGTATACGTTGCTGTACCCCTGGCTGGGCAGTGGTCTGCTCACCGGGAATGGCCATCATTGGGCGGTGCGGCGCAAGCTGATAACGCCCTCCTTTCACTTCCGCATCCTTAAGGACTTTCTGCACATTATAAACGAGACGAGCAATCGTTTCATGAAGCTGCTGGAACAGGAGTCAGACGCATCTCAGGGCCAAGTGATGGATATGCAGCGGCTAGTCTCTAGACTTACCATCGATGTCATTTGCGGTAAGCTCTGTAAGCTCTGTCTTTATTTCGTATATGTAAAATGAAATCTGATGCAGAGACCGCAATGGGCACCCGAGTAAACAGCATTGAGGGACGACCATCGCCGATTGTGGGTGCCATCGATGATCTTTGCAACATCATACCCGAGCGTGTGTTCTCGATATTTAAGCGCATGGATTGGTTTTATAAATTTACATCGTTACATAGGCAACAGCAGCAGGCTCTGAACACACTGCATGTCGAGTTCGCTCAGGTTGGCAGCCAGAAAAGCAAGCCTTTAGCCCCGTATTCAACT